TATTTCGAGCACAACATTTTTATGCTGACGGAATTAGTCGACTTGTGTCACTTTCGCAAAAGTGCAGTGATTCAAATGGTCACTGAGATATTGTCGATTATCAATTGAGTCAGAAAAATTGAGTCAGTTGTTCAATTCCTTGATTTTTTTGCTAAAAGTTAATATATTTTCTATCAGTGTTTTGTTCTAACAGTCTTTCACAGAAAGTTTTGTTTCGGGGAAGTCTGAAAGTAGAGAGAAAACATGTGAAAAAGTGCGTTGACAAAAATAAATAACATTTGCGAAACTATACATTCAATCAAGCAAAGTAAGTGTCAATCAACTTCACCTATTCCAACGAAGTAAAAAGTAATTAACTACTTTGACTCGTTCAGCAACAAAACATAAATCAATTTACGAACACAACAGATTCAAACTACTGACAATCTACAAACAAAAACTGAAAGAATTTTCAGTTTCCAGAACCCAATTAGATACGTTTTCAGTAAAGAATTCACCGTGTCACAAAATGCCGACGTAATAATGTCTTCATCAAGAGATATCAGAGATACAATCAATCTACTGGAGGAATATTTATTTTAATTGGACGAATTTGAGAAGTAAAAGTGAGGTTTGTTGTAAAGAATGTTGATCCTAATGACGGAATTACAATGTGCATGTAGAAAACACTTCCATTGCCAAAAATCAAAACTTGATAACGTGCAAGACTCATAGCTGAGCGGGTATTGACGAAACAAAGGAGTAACTCGAATTTCACAAACTACACCGGAAACGGTTTCGTTTTCACAAATTTTATTTCCAAAAATATCACATGTTTCCCTATAGTAGTCTGAGTATGTTATTCACTACGTAAAAGACAAATCGTCCTTCTCACTATACAGGGTGTAACTAAATAAGTGTAAAACATTTACGGAGGTGATTCCTCAGCAAAAAAAAAAAAAGATAGGATCTTTCATACAATGAAATTTAATTGGAGCATCCCTTGTTCAGATACAGCTCCTCAAAGGGGGTACATAAAATTTGTACAACAAAAAAGGTACAATAAAAGGTTCAATATTGAAATTGACCTGACGTTTTGTATCCTTTGTATTTGCTCGACTTCATCAACGATTACGAGAATATGGTTCATTTGACAAAAGAACGCAGGATTATGGTCGTCATCGAGAAGTACGAACACCACAGCTTGAGGAAGCAGCACTTAATTTGATTGAAGAACAACCTACTACCAGTACTAGAAAGATTGCTTTCCAGTTAAATGTTGATCATATGACGGTATTTCGAATTTTAAAGGAACAACTCTTATACCCTTACCATCTGCAACGAGTACAGGCACTGTTACCGCTAGACTTTCCGAACCGTCTTGAATTTTGCAATTGGATGCTGGAAATGATTAGAAGAAATTGTGACTTTCTGAAGACGATAGAATTCACAGACAAATGTAGTTTTTCTCGGGACAAGATTATTAATTTTCATAATTACCACATATGGGCTGATGAAAACCCTCACGCTATTGTCGAAACTAACCATCAAGAACAGTTTTCTTTTAACGTGTGGCTCGGAGTTATTGGGGATGATTTAATTGGGCCACAGAACTGACCCGCTCGATCCCCGGATCTCAATCCTCTCGATTTCTTTATTTGGGGTCATTTACAGCATTTGGTTTATCGTACTCCTGTTCGCGATGTAGAGGACTTAAGAAACCGCATCATCGATGTATGCAGGGTAGTCAGAGAGACTCCAGGAATATTTGGCTCAATGCACCGACGTCTAGACGCATGCGTAATGTCTGAAGGTAGACATATTGAACATTTACTATGATTTCTACATGTGTGTTTTGTTATCAATAAATTAATTTTGTTTATTACCCTTTAATCGTTTAATGTAGGTACTAACTACAAAATAACAATAAATCCAGTTCGCATTTATGACGATGTATCTCTGTATTTGTTCGTAAAATAGATTTTTGGTGCGAACTGGTGAATTTTGGGCAAAAAACCCTGGAGACATTTTTTGTTTAGAATGAAACAGGCTATTGGAAATAAATTTTTAAATGGTAAACAAATAATAATACAACAAGTTACATTGGAAATAAATTTTAGGGGTTGCGTTTTCCACATTAACTTCTTCAGTGCTTGTGAAAAAAATTGTTATACAAATTTCATGTACCCTCTTTAAGGGGCTGTATCTTAACAAGGGATAGTCCAATGAAGTTTCTTTATATGAAATATCCTATCTTTTTTTCAATAAGGAATCACCTCCTTGAATGTTTTACACTTCAGTTACTTCAGTACACTTATTCAACTATCTGCTACAGTTACTAACTTTCCTTTGCTTGCTACCGCTGTCATATCTTGTACTGAACTGAATCAATTCTGTAAGTTCGGGTGCTTATAAATAGTCAGATGAATGTTTCCAACGTTATCAGCTCCCACACTTTAGTGTTTTTCATCATCCTCTCCAGAATATTCATCGACCTTTCCAGTACATTCTCAACATTAAGATCACCGTCACCCAGGGCCGGACTCGTAAAAATATCATTTAAAGAGAATGCCTGATTTGAAAACAAACCACTGAATTACATGTTCACTCGATCGGTTCATTCATCACACTACTGCGATTAAAAACTGGAACCATTACACTAGGCATTTATAAAACCAGGGAACCATCCAGAACGTATAGAACATTCAACGTATCAACAAGTGTACGTCATTATTCTTTCCTCTCGAATTCGACACAATGTCCAAAAATAAACCATTTCCCCCTGAATATTTTTGAAACATATTTTTTAAATGCGGCCGGTAACGCTTCAAATGCGCATCTCTGTTTGGTATAGTATTACACGCTGGAGCTCATTAGAATTCCGAAATAGACGTTTTTTAGTGCGTTTTTTCACGGCATCTCCGTCATTTAACATTGGAACACATGTGGCCACAGTAAGTGTCTCATACTGCTGACGACCAGCTAAGTCATTAACATCATTAGGGGGCATGCGAAGACTTCACAAGTTCTATCTATGTGGAACGGCGGAAAAAATGTTACGGATTTGCGAAGAGATTGTTGCAAAAAACAGCGGAAAACCCGGAGGGTAGTTACCTATTTCCTTTTTAATTACTTCTTATAGCTGGATTCGGGTAAATTATAAATATCGGCTGCATATTCGTTTTCATTCTCCTTACACCAAAAATCTTTTTTGAAATCATATTTGAATTTGAAGTTGGTTGAGTCGAACCCTGGCCGTTAGTGTTACTTTTGTAATAATTGAATTTTTATTACGTCAATACAAACGTTTATTATTTTTATTTCATATGTTAATTCTGCCTATACAGGGCCTCTCACCTGAAACTTTCACACAGAATATATCCACATTCTGCAAACGCTAGCGAGTTAACAGGAAATATATCTGTGATTTGATATAAGAGTCAGTTCCATGCCAACAACTTTAAATGTGGTGTATTTGATACGGCATATTGTAATAGTTTTTGATCATATTTAGAGACATTTGGGATCCCAAGAAATATTTTTTCGAAATTTCAAACCAGGCGTTGATAAAAACGGAATTCACAAAAACTTCAATAAAGCATTTTTTGTGAATTTCATAACCTTAGAATGAATTTTCCTAAAAAACCCAAAAACGGATTGATTAAGAAGCTGAACCGAGTAGATGCAGAGCCTTAACCACTAAAATAACAGGAATCCAAAAGCGTTATAAAAAAGGTCGTAAAAAATGGTTTTTCTTTTGATATAGGTACTTCTGGCTGTATTTTCTTCCAAAAACACCTCAATGAGTTTTTGAATATTTCGCTGTATTAATAAGTGAAAAATGTATGAAAGATATATTCAGTATTTTTCTAGATTTCATAGTTCAGTATGTCTTTCCAGAAAAAAAAAGATTCTCAGTTCTGTGTAAAGTTCTTCACTACGCTCGAACTACGAATTATCAAGGCTTTAGTTTTTAACGTGCGATCCTTAGACGATTCGCAACAAAGAACCAGAGTGAAGATTAATCTAGTTTTCACAATAGATAACGTTCCTCAATTTGGGTTATTACAACAAATGCAAGTTTGAACAAAATAAAGTTGAGTTCAATTCATAAGTTTTTCAAATTCACTTCGGAAAGTATTCAAATTGATGTTTCAAATGTTGGGTTTTAATTTTTAAAGGGATTTGTTTCTTATTCATATATTGGCAACAGCGCTTAGAACTTTACCTGCCATTCCTAAAAATATTTTACCTTGCATATAATATATCAAGTTGAAATAATTTATACGTACCTAGTAATTCTACTTTAAAAAAGGAAAAGTATCTTTATCAATCAACAATTAAGGCAAAATATAAATTATAGTTCAATACCACCTGCACAAGACCCATAAACAACAGTTGTTTTGTTATTTATTTATATAGAGGAAGATAGGTTAGGTGAACAAAAAGTCATATGCTACAGAATGTCTCGGAACACGGAACATAAGTAAACAGAACAGAACGCCTCTGAAATATGTCATCTTTGTTTGTCTCATACAGGTAACAGATTCACTGTCCTTTACTAGCTATAACCGATGTTGCCAAATGATGAAATAGAAACGAATCCCTTTAAATGTTGAATGCATTATTTCATTAATCTTTTTTAAGTATTTAAATATTTTTTTAAAGAAAAAGGTTGAAATGATAAATTTAAAATACGTTGTTTTAAAGCTCTTTTATGAAAACTACTTGATTTTCGTCAGGAGGAACATTTCCCATTGTAGTTAGTGCAATTAGTAGAATATACTAAGTATTATTCGAATCAACCAGCCGACTACTATCTGATAATATAGATACTTTATTATGAATTGAATTTCAATAATTTTGAAAACAGTGACTACTGTAAAAAACAGCAGACAATTTTTTTTTACAACACTTCATGATGAACAGTCAACAAGATATCACATTTTACACTAGTTATGCGAGTTATTTATAGATTAATCTCACGAATTTACTGCCGAATATCGAAAATTGCAACTTACCTCTTGATTCCACGACATGTAGTGGGACATGGCGGGGTCCATATGCTCGGCCATTACACTCATCCAATGGACGAGGCCTTGCGCTCCTTGACCACCAACGCCTCCAGATTGGGGCCCTGAGGGACTCCCACCAGTTTGACCACCGTCCCATCCGAAGGCCGCCTTCTGAAAGAAAGGATAAGTCAATAATTGTTGAAAATACAATGTAAGAGGGTGAGAAGCCTCAACAGATGTTTGTAATACTATTTTATCAAATTCCTAATTTCTAGAAGGAAAATATATTGGTAATATTCCTCCTTTTTCTCCAAATCGCAAGTATAGACGAGATAATTACAAACGAGTTTGATAAACATAAGGAAATAGAGAACCTTTTATAACAATTTTTTTCTGTAAATCTCATCCTCTTTTTGGCGAATCTAAGATAAATAAATTTCTTCGAACTTCGAATTGATAAGTTTGTATACTGAAAAATCAAAGAGGTGTGCCTCAATTTGCGTTACTTATCCGCTGAAAATGTCAAAATTTCCAAAATTTTCCCATTAAGATAATGGTGATGGTGACAAAAGTGATTCTCATTTTAATATCACATATCACGCCATGTCAAAACTTATATTTGATAATTCATTGTCAATCATGATTTTCATGTGATATAGTATATTTCCTACTAACATATTCCGATTGATTCCGAGAGCAGAGTAAAAACCGTTTCTATTTTTTACGAGCAATAAACTAAAAACCGGCTCCCATTCCCTTCGGTCCATCAGAAATTATCAATATTTTATTGGTCACCAAATTATTAGGTGAGCGTCAATTACTCCAATTAAATCCGAAGAAATAAAAAGTCACGATAAATAAATGTGGTTGAATTTAAAACATTAGCTGCTCTTCGTGCCAATGAAAAAAAACTACTGAAATAATTTATACTGCATTAACATATCCAATAATAATGAGGTAACTGTTTTTCTCCTCTCGTGATTGGTGGTACAGTAAATTTCCATCTGGTTAAAATTGTGGAAACAAGAATGAATGAAATATTTAATTACATGGGGGTGAATTTCAAAACCTGTAATGAAAAAGGGAGGTTACAATTATAAACATAAAAATATAAATATAATCATAGTCATGTAATGGATAGTTTGTAATATTTTTAAAGAGACTAGGTAAATGGTTATTTAACTTTTTACTTTCAAATATAATGGAATTTTTACTTAAAGACGTTGTGGGTTTAGTCAGATAAATATTATCATTTTGTCTTGTATTATACACTGTTTCTTTAGATATTTTGGACTTATGCATTAGGCAGACAGTTTCTAAGATAAATATGGAGTTATCACTCTAATAGCACAACAACCTGAGGCTAGTTTTTTATTTAGATTTCTTATGTGTTCCTCAAATTTTAATTTATCATTCAAGTAGATTCCTAAGAATTTGGTATGTGATTTGTTGATAACAATATTCCTGCCTAGATAAAGGTCATTAAACATGAGCTTAAATGTCAATATACTGGTTTTATCTATGTTGAAGCAAAGCAAGTTTGCATCGCACTATGTTTAACCTTTTCTAAGTCCTTGGAAATGTTTCATTTCAGAAGTTCAATATTATTATCATGCCACAGTAATGTGGTATCATCGGCAAGCATTGTAAATGATCCTCGAATGTCGAGTTTACTGAGATCATTCAGATAAACAAGGAAAAAAATTGACCCAAGAACTGAACCCTGAGGAACACCACATTCAATATTGGAAGGATCAGAGAATTTATTATTGAAGTTAACAATTTGAGTTCTGTTGGAGAGGTATGATTCAATCCATTTATTTGCAACCCCTCTGAACCCATAACATTTCAACTTCCGGAGCAGTATACCGTGATCCATACAATCAAAGGCTTTGGAGAAATCAATATGAACACAGCTCCAACAGCTTCACCATCATTCAGGCTCATATATACTTCATTGTGCAAATTGAAAATTGCATCATTGGTGCTCTTCTTAGATTGGAAGCCAAACTGAGTATTCGACAATATATTGTGTTCAACTAAAAATAGTACTATCCGTACAGTACGAAACTGTTATTTCCAACTGAAGGACGAATTCTTTACACAAGATGAGGGACTGCCAATGGGATCGCCACTTTCACCAGTCAAAGCCAACATATAAATGAAGTGGTTTGAAACTCTGGCCATTGAAGAAGCCCACAAAAAACCTCGAGTCTGGTTGAGATATGTTGACGACACCTTCATAATTAATAGTCATCTCTCGGAGGAATCAGTCCAGTCATCACCCGAAGACGGTTGTAGATACTAACAATCGAAACGTCGTGAACTAACGTGACTTGGAATCTCTCCACTTTTTATTTTTATTTTCTTTTTTCATTTCTTCATTTTTTATTTATTCAATTTTTTTATTTTTACTTGTATTTTATTTCACTATTATTTAATTTCAGGTTTATTTTGGTTAATATAATTGTTATTTTCAGCTATTCATTTTTAATTCTTCTTTTCTAGTTGTTTCAATGACAATGGACAATGGAAGTCCGAACTAGTGAAATAGTACTATCCTCTTCTTAACTAATTTCTCTAGAATTTTGGAGATAGTTGACAGTAATGCAATTGATCTAAAAATTGCTGGTTCGTTAAATTGTCCACCTTTGTAAAATGGGATGATGATTGCTGTTTTGAGACATGATGGAAATACTCCTGTTCTGAAGGATATATTGATCGCATCTGTTAATACCTGTAGGGCCTCAAATGGTAAATTTAGTAATATTTTGACAGATATTTCATCCATACCAGAAGTCTTTTTATTTTTAATATCCGATAGAGTTGTTAGGAGTTCTTCAATGTTAGTATTACATAACTTAAAATTAACTAATATGAGCTACTCAACTCAATTTCAATATTTAGGGCAAAAATAACCTACCTGATCGAAATCTCGGTCTTTGGAAAAGAACATATTCTTGTAGACGTTGCTCTTGTCATCGTTACTGGAGAACACCGCCTTGGCTAATAGAGTCTTATAGAACTGAGTAGGCAACAGCAACTGATTATTGTTATAGGAATCGAGCTTGTTGACGAAGTCGTTATACTTGAAGCTCGGTTTATACAGACTTAAATTCATGTCGTTGTTGTTGGTTGTGGCGCATGAATCGCTACTATCTGAGCTGTCCATAGCCGCCTCCGGAATAGGCCGAATGGTCGTCATTTTCTTCATCAGATTCCGCTCAGACATGAATACACTTATCTAACTACGAGGATATCAAAATATAGGCTGAGATTCTTCACTAGTAGGAACTTATTGTGTCGAGGAACTATAATTGATGTCGATTTCTAGGTACGTATAAGCTAGCCCATTTTAAAAAGCACGCTGTTAATTTTCAAGAAACTTCAGTGGAAGGAGTCCGGACCGCATGGTCATATTCACGAAATCGTTCTGCAATCGGGAAATTCGTTTGTTTTCATTACGCTATCCCCGATTAATATTTTGATAAAGTTTAATTTAAAAGTTCCAAATAATCCGTAATTAAATTTTGATCAAATCAGAATGCAAACAATAATTAATGAATATGAATTATTATAAAATGAATGATTAAATATAGAAAATTATAATATTTGTTATGATGTTGCAAAAACATTTTTCGTTGCGTTCTGCATGCATAGCTTTAATGCGAATGAACGAAATTAATATTTACGGAATCGAAAAAGTTTATGATATTCGTGATTTGCCGTGGCTAACTATCAAACGCCGAATTAATGAAACAACAAAGCGAAAACAGATGTATTTTTGTTGAATCAATGAATTAATTATGGAAAATAGATTTCGATATCGTGAAATCTGCGTTTCAATATTTGCTATTTTGCTTTAACAAGGACCGTATCATTGTTGCTTAAGATTCAAATTCAGTAATATTTCAACCATTGTTTCTATTTCAACTGACTTCATCACAACTGGTGATTAAGGATCCAGTAAAAAAGTCCAGTACAAATTATTGCTATGGACAATATTGTTTGCTATGGGCAATAATTTGTACTGGGCAAAACATTGTTTTAACATATCTATTTTGCAAGTACATGGTTCAAAGCTGTGAAAGCTACTTTTCTTTAACCACCAGCCACAACAAAAAAGAGGAATAATTAAAACGTTGGTTTAGAGAGCAGGATGTATTTGTTACCTAATCGCCTTTGATAATGTCTACTGCAGTAGTAGACGAAACGTCATTTAGTGGCCACCTGAACAAAATGGGGTTTTAAAACGGGTACTTCAATTGAAAGCGAGGTATCAAAGGGACAGAAACAAAAACAGCTCATGTTTGATACGATTGTGAAGTATACCAAATTGTATCTAGAAGAATTTGACACAATCCAACAAAATATCTCTACAACTAGCACAGAAAACAAGATTTTTGGAATGGGTGTTATTGCCGTGAGGACAAACGCAACAGGTTCGAAATGCTTCAGTTTTTTCGGAGAATTTGAAAAAATGGACGAGTCAGATGGATTCCAAGTATAAAAAAGTTGAAGAAAATAATGTCAATCCAATATTCCATAAAAGAAGAAATCTATTACCAATCTTTTTTTAGAAATATTCTGTTTAAAATATATATTTTCAATGGCAAAATAACAAATTGATAGAAAGCAAGCGCAGAAAAAAGCTAGAAGAAGCTGTGAGAAGGACTGGGGATTATTAATTCAGTGGCAGGGTACAACATCAACATTCACTGGGTGAAAAACAAAAAAAGTGTTTTCATTTAAAAATGATTTCGTCTTGAAAATTATTGTAAAACTTGTTTACATTTTCCATTGCAAGAGTCTACAGGAAATTTTGATGAGCTAGTATGGGTATTTTCATTGACAATGTGAACGGCAACGAAATTATCAAAAGAATCAATGGGGTCTTAACTTTCAACGTAAGATTTTTTTAGCAAATTGGTCTCAGATTGAGTCAATTTCATTCCAATAATTTCAATTCTACCTGTTTTGTATGGTATAACGTTTCAGATCTTATATAAAAATATAAAAAGATGATGAGAAAACCATTCTTTTCTTTAATAAGTACTTCTGAATACATACAGTGTGACCCATTTTTAATGGAAACACCCCCCTAAAATTTGAAGTTGTAAACCGATTTTAATATTTTTTTTTGAAATGTCAAGTACTTAATCATTCAATAAGATGTTGGAGCAAGAAGCAATAACTAAATCGTGTTCAAAATGAAATGGGTGTATTTTTAGGAGAAACTAGTTTTTGAGAAGGAAAGGTGATGTTTTCCTACTTCTCTAACTTTATGCAAAAAATGTGTTTAACGTCTATGCATGATCTACACATCTGTGACTTCATTTTGAAGTCAATTTTTTTCTTCCTTCCTTCGGAAATTTACCATGTTTTTTTCTGTAAAGATGGAAAAATAGAAAGCCAAAATCTTCTCATCCCAATAACTAAAATTTTCGTATATGGGTTTGATCATTTATCGGAAAAGGAAAAATAGAATACCTCTGTTGACTGTTGACTAAAACATTCAAACAACACAAAATTTTCAGTAAGTTGGAGCTCTTCTCAACTCATTGATTCACGACTATAATTTTAACTATGTTTTGGACATTTAAAATGAATCTTTAAAGTGTTAGGAATCACACGGTGAAAGATAAGACCTCGTTAGTCCTCAGCTCGCACAAGTTTCAACTATTGAGAATTTTCTTTCGTAGGGATTAACGAAAAAACAGATTTTAACAGATTTGTTCCAATAGATTCCAAATGTAGCTTTACAGCCATCATAAGTGAAATTTCCGTCTAATTTATGTTTAAATAAGGCGCTTTGTAACAAACTGTAGATGTAGGTGAAGTGATGAATTGTTTTTTGAATTTAAGATTCCATTAACTCAGCTGAATAATAGTGTACCTACTATAAAGTTATCTTACAATGTTGGGGGATTACTGCAGTGGTTTTTCTTACGAATTTCTTACAGTTTCTTATTATGACTGAGTTTCATACGCTATTCTATCGCCGACTAAAATGAGTTTAAACAAAAAGAATACTGCTGAGATATTTCGAATGTGCTCAATTGTTTTTCACAGGAGAAAATAAAAATGCCACGTCATTTTTAACTTACATTTTGAGGAGCTAGCTATAGGATCTACCCGAAAACATCAAAAGAAAAGCACGACAAAAAATTCAATAAATTTATAGAATGGAAGCAGAAATACGAAAATAGTCGCAGAGAGGTTTAGTCTGTCTATTTTATAGCACAGATTCGTCACCTTATAAGCACAAGTGTCTAGAAGTGAAGATTATTAATAATTTTGGCATTCATAATCATATATTAGGCGGCAACAAACCAAATCAGCAACTTAAAGGAGTTTATCATCCAAACATTCATTTCATAAGCTTCCCAAAAAACAGTTCAATTATTCTCAGTTAGTATATCAACTTTAATTTCACGAATTCTCGCAAATCAACATCCAAATCCAACGGAAAAAATGCGAAAAAACGAATCATTTGGAACTGGCAATAAAGCAACATGAACAAACGCTCAAAATATACCAATAAACTTTTAAATTCAAAATTCCAATCGTAAACCACAAGTTTATCGCCGAAACATGCGATAAACATTAAAAACAATCGCGAGATCACGTGGTGTGTCAACCCATTCAAAGCGGCAAAACGGCAATTAGAGACGTTAATTTACGCGCGTCGCGATTCCCGTCGTGGTGGGGAGCACCTCATCCGCACGATCGTTTACCCCCACCAAAAATTCCGAGCCACTTTTGCATTAATTTAACACGAGTAACGAGGACTAATTAACGAAGCCAGCGAATTCACACGAGACCCCGTTCACGGCCTCCTAGGATGCAACAAAACTGCATATAGTTCTACAACTCGCCGTCGACTGAGAATAAGGCGTCGCGACGCCAGGAACTAGGTTAGAGAATAAGAAAAAGAACTGCAACGACGTTGGGAAGGAAAAAATGCTAAAAAAATGTATGTACATATACGGAAGTAAGGTTAGAGTGCATGTAAGAATATGATATTGATTGGGTATTTTCTTCCTTGTGGGGGAGTCTATGTGCGCTGCCGACCGGGCTCTACGGAAGGGGTGGGGGAGAAAAAATGTTATAGTGCAGTTGGCTGTGTTGGCAAACAAATGAATGTTGTCGCGGTCAGTGGAGACAAATGATGAACGGCGCGGAGTGTCTTCCAAAGCACGTGTTGATTACAACGAGGGGAGGGGGGATAATGAACGGAGTTTCCCGCCGTTCGCTCGGGGCTTACAGGGGAAGTTTCGTGAAAGAGAGTTTGTATGGCGGATATGGTGGAAACAACTTGGTTGTGGTGGATTCATTGAACATGAGTTGTTAAAAAGAAGAAACTAAACGTCTATCGATAAAACTATTCGTAATAATGAAAAAATCAAAACGGAGTATCAAAAAACTAACTCGCTTCTCTCACGCGTCAGCTCGCAAGAATTTTTTAGATTGATTCCTTTTGAACCTTCGCCATTTTTGTGTTACAACTTTCAGCTTTCGAATCTTCCAAAGTATTTTCTTTTCTTTCTTGATGGTTTGAGAAAACATCAAATAGTGTTTCGGGGAAAATGTGTCTTTATGCTTCTCCATCATTATTTCTATGTACTTGTAATGCACTGTTTGAAACCTTTGTTGTAGTAATGAATATTACTGGAGTTTTTTCCCAACACCAAATCGTTATTTTCAACACCTCGACATGTGTTTCAATCACCAAGTGATCATCTTCAAAAGGTTCAGTTTAATCTTCCTCTTGAAGATGATTACTTGGTGATCGAAATACGTGTCGATGTGTTAAAAATAACGATTTGGTGTTGGTAAAAAACTCCCATAATATCCATTATATGTTAGGAAGATAGTAATGAAATAAATCAACATACACCATTTACAAAGATGTGTAGATCTTCCAAAAAAATGAATCCACAACAACTACTTTCAAATACATGAACACTGAATTTCCCATCCAGTTTGCTCTACAAATATTCATAATGGAATCGAAGCAGATATCACTCACAAGAGCGCTACACAACATTTTACAGTGCGGAAGTAAATAGCTCAGACAAAATTTACGTAAAAAGGGATTATTTTTAAAACTTTGTGATAAGAAAGATAATAGTGTTGCATCACTTGTCGCCAAGAGGGCGCTACTAACTTTTTTATGGAAAAGGGAGTCTTGTAATACCTTAT